ATATATATATATATATATATATATATACATGGAGTGCCTCTCTGATCAGCAACAAAAGAAAGACTGAAGAAGCCTGTGGGGCCCCACAGTAGACGCAGCCCCTACAAGGCGTTTGCATGCATTTACACTGTTAAAAAATCAACTTAAGTAAGGGCCAGGAGAGAGGATGAGGATAAGCACAAGCAGCAGCAACAGCAGCAGCAGCAAGCTGCAAGATCACCAACAGCAGCAGCAGCAGCTCCTGTTGCTGCTACTTCCTTACATCTGCCTCCTCAGTCCTTGTATCTCCGGCGGCTGCACGGGGTACACGCTAGCAGCAGCAGGAGAAACAGTAGCAACCGCAGCAGCAGCAGCAGCAGCTGCAGCGGCAGCAGCAACAGCGGTTGCTTCTATATGTAGGGGTCATCTTAAGGGGCCCTGCTGCGAGCACGGGGGCCCCTGACAGCAGTGGGGGCCCCCTCTATGTGGGGCTGAATCCACGCACTTGCGGGAGGCATTAACTCCTAAGACAAACAGACAGCCGCAGCAGCAGCAGACAGCAGCAGCAGACAGCAGCAACAGACAGCCGCAGCAGCAGCAGACAGCAGCAGCAGACAGCAGCAGCAGCAGACAACATAAAAGAGACAGCAAGCAAATCATTCACACGAACATAACAAACGCGAAGAAGACAGACAAAAATAGAAAAAGGAGTATTATCTTTACTGTTATTAGTACTCTTACTATTATTATTACTGTTAGTATTACTATTACTATTGCTAGTTCTATTGCTATTTCTATTACTATTACTATTACTATTTCTATTTCTATTGCTATTTCTATTGCTATTAGTATTTCTATTACTATTTCTATTGCTACTGCTATTACTATTACTATTTCTATTGCTATTTCTATTACTATTACTATTTCTATTACTATTTCTATTGCTATTTCTATTACTATTTCTATTACTATTTCTATTGCTATTTCTATTACTGATTATTACTACTACTACTATTTCTATTACTATTATTACTATTACAATATGTATTGCTTTTATGATTGTAGAGCTCGCACCTGCTGATCCCCAATGCGTCTGAGGTGTATATACGCATCAGTGCCGTGCACAGGCATAGAAATTAAAGTGAGGCTTCCCCCTAAATAAGAAGCATAAAGCCTGCATAGGGGCAGCCCACAGCCAAAGCCAGCCAAAGGAGATGCATTGAACTGTCTTCTTTCTTCTTTTGTTGTAAAATCAAGAGAACCAATCGTCACCGACTGAGACAAAGACCCTGTTTCTTCAGACCCTTCTTCTTGCTGCACCTCCCGCTGCTGCTGCTGCTCCTGCTGCTGCGATTCCTGCTGCTGCGCCTCCTGCTGCTGCTGCTGCTGCTGCTGCTGCTTCTGCTGCTGGGGACGCGCGTACACCACAGAACCCGTCATAGGGTCATACTTCACTGGCTTCGCTGTGGTGTACATGTAGCTCCAAATTCGGGGCTGCGCCTCATTGCTTATTCCTCCTCCCATATCAGACAGCTGCACATAAATACATCCTAAGCCTTATTCTCTTTTGACTCACCTACACAACGCCACACAGCTAGCTACCCAGCCAGCTAGCTAGCTAGCTAGCTAGCTAGTTGGCTAGCTAGCTAGATGGCTAGCTAGCTAGATGGCTAGCTAGTTAAATAGCTACCTGGGTAGCGAACGTTTTGGCCAGCTAGCTAGCTAGCTAGGTGGCTAGCTAGATGGCTAGCTAGCTGGCCAGCTAGCTGGCTAGCTACTTGTCTAGCTCGACAGCTACTTGGTTGGCTAGCCGCCGCCGCAGCAGCAGCAGCAGCAGCTGCTGCTGCTGCTGCTGCTGTTGTTGTTATTGTTGTTGTTGTTGTTGTTGTTTACCCGTATGGAGACAGAATGCTCATCTCCTGCTACAAGAAGCTGCACTGGGGGCAGCAGCGGGTCGGAGACCTCAGGGGCCGTCTGGTATTGAGGTGCTGCTTGAGAGAGGGTTTGTGCATGCATAAAAGGGTTGCTAAGCACTTCTCTGCTGCTGCTGCTGCTGCTGCTGCTTGGGGGGGAAAGGGGCCCCAAGTGGTCGGGCAGCTTGTCGGGGCCCCAAAGACGGGAGTAAGAAGCAGAACGGTTGGTTGCTGCTGCTGCAGCAGCAGCAGCAGCAGACAAGTCCACCCCCTCCTCATCTCGTCTAGGCTGAGATAGAAATCTGTCTACTGTCGCTCGCATTGCATTCTAAACAAACAAACAAAACCAAATACAGCAGCAGCAGCAGCAAGAGCAGCAGCAAGAGCAGCAGCAGCAGCAGCAGCAGCAGCAGCATCCTTTTCTTCAGTGAATGGCAGGAATGGTAGAGACGAATGTCTAACTAATTATCACCCGCATGCAATCCGTCACCTCTGGTCTCCATATATATATATATAAATATATTTATATATATTTATATATATGTCTATAATATATATATATATATATATATATATATATTGGTTTATT